ACTCGCTGTGAGAGGCTCGGCTTAATGGCCCGGCGCAATCGTTGGCAGGTGACCACCCCGCCGTATTTCTCGTCCTTTTCAAAGGGGGCCAGAATCCAGGGGAGGAGAGTACGTGGCCAGCTCACGTCGTCATCGGCCAGAAGGGTAATGGCCGTTCGGACCTCGGGAATAGCTTGAGTCATTTGACGACGCTTGTTGGGATGCTCGACTGTGAACAATCGGATTCGAGATTGCGATGCTGGCATAGCGTTCAGCATCTGCTCAGCCTTCATGCGATTGGCCTCGATTGTCACCAGGAGCAATTCGAAGGGTTGATTATCGAGAATTGTCCGGATCGTCTCCACCAGCTCAGTGCCACAGCCCTCCAAGGATGGAATGATCACCGTCACATCTTGTGAGGTCAATTTGGGGTTCTCCGGGGGTGGGATTGGCTTGAAGGTCCAAAAGGAGAACAAGTTGAACACAAGCCGGGTATAGCGATAGAGACTTGTTACTGGTTAGCTAGTGTTCGGATTGAACTCCAAACATGTACTTACAAGAGTGTGACGAATGCTCGCAGAAACGGGAATGCCATGGTGTGAAACTCGATTGTCCTCACGGAACCCTGACTAATTCCTTCTTTTTTGGGGGGGGAGGGGGCGTTCTCTTCGAGAGACAGGGAGGTATAAGCACTCAATGCGTTCTATACCTGACCAAGTCCAAGTGGTCAATTGCCTAGGGTTAGGCAATCCAAGTCAAAACGAATGTCCAAGGAGACAATGCTTCCTTCAATTCAAAAGGAAAAGACAAGAGGGAAAAAGAAAAAAGAGATTGGTACTTTGATTGAAGGGGAGCAGAGATTAAAGTAGGAAGAAAGGCAGCACATGCGAACTAAACAATAAATAGAATAATATAATAATATATATTCCATCAAGAATTATAATATTAATGGAATTAAATGAAATAAAACCCCGATAAACAAAAAAACCAAATAAAATAAAAGACCGAACTAAAAAAGCTATGCCCCAGTCTTCGTTGTCGTTTTGAGTGTGCTGCAGGTGTAGTTTTTGCCTCGTGCGTCAGAGACCCTGGATCTAGAGGCAGTCCAAAGGTGGAGAGAGGATTGGCGGCCCATGCGAGTGGATATTTGGTTGTGTATATATGTGTGTGGATATTTGGTGTATATGTGCGTATATGTGTGTGGATATTTGGTGTATATGTGCGTATATGTGCGTATATATGCGTATGTGTGTGTATGTGTGTGTATGTGTGTGTATGTGTGTGTATATGTGTGTATATTATCCTCTTTTTTTTTTTTTTTACGTATCTTTACCTTTGATGTGATATATTATCATGTGGACATAGGGATTTATATATTCTATAGTAGAATCGAGTCAAATGGTAATGCCTGTTCAGTCTATTCAGCATACTCAACCTATACATATGCATGTACCTTTCTTATTTTTTTGTGGTTTTTTTTTTTTTAGGAAGAGATATTTGGCTTCTGATTATATTCACTCGTTTAGTTTGTAAAAATAAGATATGTTGTATGGATAATAGGCAACCGTTTAGGTCGGATGCATATCTAGATACCTGGTAGTCAAGTTCTTCCAAGCAATGCAACCCAACGGGAGGTACTTTGGTCCCAGGTACAATCAAATCCCTTTGTTTTGATATTGTCGGCAAAAAGGCAACAGGAAAGCAAATGGAGAACATATCCGACATGCACGATCATACCTTTCGCCTTGAAACTCGAAAGATTCATTGGTGCCCAGGCAATGACCGGAACTCTGCATAGACATGAAATATCTCTATTTATATATTGCCTATGATAATTATGTACTTCTATAGCTTTGATAAAATGGTGATTTGTGGAACAATTGCGACTTTTCTGACAATACATGTACTAATTAGCGTGGTCCGAAGTCCATTCGGGATGATAAATTCCAAAAGTACCTTTATAAAGACCTTTGATTTTATTTCCTATCTCGAAAGATTGGACCGATTTGAAGAGAAAAACGTTTTGCATATTGATCGGAACAAACTAGGTGTAACTTGAAGACAAATGCTTATTATATTCATATTCTACAAAATATGTCAAATAGCCTCGCAGTGGGAAAAACAGAAAAGAAAAAGAAATACGGAGTAATCCTAGTGGCGATCGCTAAAGTGCCCATGTAACAGCCTGTCTTGACAAAAGGTGGGGCAAAATAACCGGTATGGAGTTGGATTTTTATACTAAAAGTTCGGAATATACAATATAGGAAATTAGAGAATGAGAGGAAAAGGGAGGGGAAGAAAGCGAATACAGATCGCCTGATTGCGCGTTTAATACTAAAGGGCAACCAGCTGCCTTGGTGGCGTGAAGGTAAAAAAAACCCCGATCACGAGTATATTAGCTGTTGGAATGTGGAATTAAAAGTGAAGGAAAAGAGTAACTAAAAGCCAGGCGTATTATCTATCTTAGTATAGTGGCTCATATTAGCATAAGAATCTGATATCGAATGTATACCCTAACTAGATATATGTATATATCTCTCTCTCTCTCTTATACTACTCCGTACTTCATACTCTATACATCTACGGAGTATATATGTAGCATATCCTCCATTCAGACACATCCCCTAATGAAACTAGGATTATGATTGGTCTTATCATTAACCCACTCCTTCCTTTCACAGATGGACAACCGCTGGCTTTCGCGCCAGTGTCGCTTTGGCGTCTAAAGATGTTCCAGCCTTAACGGAATGGGGGCACGGCCGGAGAGGATGGGATTAATGCATCTGCAGAAGGCCCAATATGGATATCTCTTGGTCGTGATCGTCCAGACTCGCAATCTGGTACTTTTGGGGGGGGGGGGGGGGGGGAATGGCTAGGACCTCTCTTTTCTCTTTATAGGGTTCTACAAGTGGCAATCCATAGTTTTTTTTTTTTGGAGGGATTTCTCTTATCTGCAACAGTTCTATCTGGGTTCTTTGCATATGCACATATATTTCGTACCTTGTATATTTAGCACTATTTTCCCCTCTCCCGGCCGAGCCGAAAAGGTCTACTTTGAAAAGTACCACGGTGTCCGACCGAGCCCAGATCACGTCTTGAGAGTGAAACAGACGCGTATCTCGGCTGCACGGACAGTTTATTAAATTTGAGAACTCCAACTCCACTACCGGGAATGGCCGGATTTCTATTTCACGTTCAATATGATTTGTGTGGGTTTTTGCGCATAGACCCGAAATGACTCCGGGATATCAAATGGGGGCCAAACGGGATCGTCTGTCACGGGAAAAAGGGGCGATGACATGCAGTCGATCAGAATTTCCTTTTCAACAAGATGAATACAGCCGACACTCTTACCTAGTCAGTTCTAGTCGGTTCTAGTCAGCTCTAGTCCAGCTCTAGTCCAGCTCTACTCCGTAGTCAGTTACTCTTTACTTCCGTACTCCGTACTCCATGCATATTATTCAGAAATTTAGATCGGCTGTGGGGAATATGTACCTTTTTTTTTAAAAAAAAATACAAACCTATAGTGAATTTGTTTTTCTCTTTACTGGATTTAAACCTATATATCTATCTATGGATGTAATATGGTATTCCATATTTAACTGGCAAATATGAGAATTGCAAATATGTCGGAGTATAATTGGTCTGATCGTAAAAAAACATCCGTGCCATTCTAACCGCTCTCTGGTGGGTTAGCTGCAGCAAATATGGGCTTGGTGGCTGACATTTTGCTGCAACCATCGCTGATAGTCTCGGGATTACCACCGACTTCGGTTCTCCACTAACTTTTTATGGGGTATTTCATTTACGATGTATTTTAATGTTTTAGCTTGGAAATCCACGGCTTCTCCGTTTAGAGCCTAATTCTATATAGATATATGTATCTATCCAACTATCTGAGTATACATATGTCGCAATCATATTATCTATATTCCTATATTTGATTTTGGCTTTTCAAACGTTTGAAATGGCCAATTCTCAGACCTTAACATCGTTATATGTCCTCTTTCAATCATACTAATCGTCCCATGTGGAAGCCGACTTTCATTGATATACAGATACAAGCACGACTTAGATAGACACATGGTCGCGTACCAGCACGGTCATTTATGGGAGCACCGAGCGCAGGCTTATCTCCTTATTGCTGTCAATGCGCCTTACTCTTTTCTACATTTCCTACATAGGTACGGAGTACCGAAGTCCCGAGCTCAAGTATAGTACCCTGTAACCATATATTATTTCAAGTATCAGCCTCATTTGTACTCCATATTCTGCTCGTTATATCAACCTGGTCCATCTTTATCTATCTCTATTCTTACTGTTATACGTACACATGTTATAGATATCAAAGACTCCAACAAAGAACTCCCCCGAAACCAATTCCTTTCTCGTATCCAAACGCCCAAATCTACATCAATATGCAAAAGGACAAAGATCGCAATGCGCTCGGCACATCCTGACGTCAAATAGAACGATTTCCTGCCGTTCATGCAGCTGGGATAGACCGGGGACCATACGGAAAAGCAGCAGAGATGCACCTGCTCATCAGACGTCGGAAGGACAGTCGTAACGGAAATGCACCTCGTGCATCCCCCCGGACACTAATGCGCTGCAGTTACCAGGAATATGGTGGCCGTAAATAATAAATGTAAATTTTTTTTAAAAAAATACCCTTTCCAGAACAAATGTGCAGAATCCCATTTATGGCCATGCAGGGTAGCCTCGGCGTTGGCCGTTGAAATAGGCTGTGCAAATTAGTCCATGGGCATAGATATGTTGACTGTTTTCTCTTCCAAGCTTGGCTTTTATATGGGTTTTTTTTTTCTTAGGTGTTTCCGCTCTCTATGCTCATATCAAAGCTATATCTATAGTTACCAAGCTAGAAGCTAAACCAACATATAAAAGCTATAAAGCCATTAAGCCATCGCGTTAAAAAAATAAAAAATAAAAAATAAAAAGGTTCAGCCCTATGACCTGGCCCTCCTTACTTAGCATATTCGAAAAGACATCACAGGTTTCACTCAAGGCTTCCATAACCAGCCTGCAGGCTCAAAACAAGACTCGAAATCGACGCCACCGAACAGCCCAATCGCCCCATAAAGGTCATAGTTCCCTTCCAGGCCCTCAACACCCCCAGAATCCGCATCGACCTCCTCATGCAGATCCCATCCCCCAGATCGGCATCCATCCCGCGTGAAGAAGATATGCACCTTGCATCTCTTACTTTTATTCTCCCCACTGCAGATATTCTCTGGCAGCTTGAACTCCATTCCCAGGCCTACCGTCTCACCCACCTTGAACGCCGTGGTAAAATCCCGACCCCCAAACGAATCATTCACAAACCGACACCCATCATCTGAAAACACTCCCAGCCCACCTCTTTCCCAACCAGGTGATCTCCACGACGGATAAGGCTGCGCAGCAAACCCAATGGAAATCCCACTACAATCCTGCGGTGTCGGTCCGGCCCTCAGCGCCAACAATTTCACCTCAAAGTAGATAGTCTTCTTCTGCTCGCGTACAAACGGCGAGTCTAGAGTGGGGAAATACAGGGGAAGTTGGGTCAACACGACACAATCCCCATTCCTGTCGACGCTGTGTCCGCGCCAGTGGCCGGGCGCAACAGCCGAGACATGGCCACGCAGCTCGGTTGGTTGCACGGGTCGAAGATCGTGGTTCTGCACGTCATGATAGACGGCAGATGAGGGCTCGGTTGGGAGCCAGAGAGGTACGGAGTTGCAGAAATCGTGGGCACGTTGGGCGTCATCTTCGGAAGCGTTTCCTGTACCTGAGATTAGGTAGCCGGCGATTGGGGGTGGTGGGAATGTGGCTGTGTCTGGGACTGCTTCTTGCCAGTTGTGATATGGGGGTGGATCGGAGGCTGAAGTGTGTGGCTGGATGTCGTAGTTCCCCCAGGATTGCTGTGATGCATCATAACTTGGCGGTGAGTCGTGGGGTTGGTTGGACATTGTGTCTGCATGGAGTAGTACCCTGTAGTACCCTGTAGTACCTTGTATATTTGTATCACAAAGTAACAGGTTTTTAAGGCTGGTCAGTGTAGTTTTGAATTGGGGAGATGTAAAGGTGAGATTTTGATTTTGATGCCAAGCGAGGGATGACTCCGCGCTTTCTTTGGGCTCCGGATGATTCTCTCATTCTGACAGTGTTTCACAAATTGATGAGTTTGGAATTGAACTAAGGTCCAGCTTCTTTTTGTATAGTTAATTAGTTGAGATTTTTTTTTTCCTTTCGAGTCTTGTTCATATCTATATAAATTGTACAAATTATAGATCTACATAGTAAAACAGTATACTCCGTATATTGGGAGTATACAAATCTATCAAATCCTAGACACACTAACAAAAAAAAACAACACTAAACTAAGAATAGCCCTGAGGTTTCAGATGCAGCCAATACTAAGCAGATTCGGAAATTCTTCGATTCTCGACTGTTTAACGCTTTTTACTTTTTCTTCTGTTTCTTCTGTTTCTTCTTCTCTTTTTGTTTTGTATTTTCCTTTGGTCTTTGGCCTTTGTCTCTCGTTTTTTGTTTTGTTTTGTTTCTCTTGCCTTATGACTTACGACTCGGCTCACAACTCACCTCTCATGTTTCACATCTCACGATCTCTCAATCTCTGAATTTGTTTCCTTCAATGTCACTCGCTGTTTTCTTCTTTTTTTCTCTGGATCAGAAGTTCGTTAAATCAGTTTACAAACTCCAATGGAGGCCTTTTCTGCCGATCAGCCCCGCAAGGCCCGTCGATCATCCATCTCGGAGCACATCCACCGCGTATTTAACAAATCTATGGATGTAAGTTAACTATAGCCAAAAGAAAAAGGAGGAACTTGATTTGACCCTTCGAAGAAACGGCACAGCCAAAATGCCGAGTTTATTCCCCCAGTTCCATTTCTCGCCCGAGAAGCTCTCGCACATGAGGCAGCCGACAATGATTCCTATGCGAGGCACTCCTTGTACGATAAGACTGGGCCCAGCTCACTCTCTTACTCCTCCAACTCTCGTTTGCCCTCTACCGGTACACCTGGCTCAAGTCTATCAGTCGCAAATGGGGCCCCTATGGAGGATAATACTCCAACCCAACAGATGACGCCCTTGCCTAACCATCCCAATAAAGATGGAGACAATATCTGCAAATCGCCAACCTGGGACAAAACCAAAAAGAAAGAAAAGCGTGTCACAAAACGCCTTGAAGCCGAGAGAAAGGAACTCGAGAAGCGCTTGCTAGCACTTGAGGCTGCCCAATCCAAGGCCAACCTCGGAATCTATGAACGATCCTCTCGCCGTCTGACCAAGAAACAACCGGTGGGTAGTTCAAGTAGAAGCTCCAGTGCGAATGCAGAACGTCCGAGATCGTCAAGTGGGTTTTCCTCGATATTCCGGCGATCACGTCGGAATTCAAATTCGAGTGACCTAGACTTTCCATCTGCCGAGTTTAGCCAGCTCAGGACAGATACAAATCCACCCTCTCTACCTTTGACTCTACCAGAAAGATTTGGAACGGCCATCACCCGCGAGCTACAGTCCAAGCATGGTACCGCGTTGAACCTATCCGCTTCGCACAGAATGCCCAACCCAACCCAGCATAGCCGTTCGTTGCACGCTTCGGCAAAGTCTGATGATCTTCGTGAGAACTGGAAGATGGCTGAAGCATGGAAGACAAAGGACGGACGTGAGTCCAATCGATCAGTGTCGGAGCAGGTTCCCAACGGTAGTCGGTCCATTGTTGGAAACAATGCTCGAAACAACGAGACACCAGCATCCTCGGGCGATCTGGATAGAGAGCTGTTTTCCGCAGCTCTGAAACATGACAGGAAGAGTGTCCCTGCAACAGAAAACCCTCTTGATCGTGTGACTCGCCATGACCGTTCCGTTAGGGCTACTAGCATGCCAATGCCGCAAAACTTGAGCCAGCCTAACTTTTATCCACCTGGTCATCTTGATTCGCCTACTCAAGTCACCACGGCTCGTCAGTTGCAAGAGATAACACCCCCGGAAACCCCAGAAAGTCCAGCCAGCGCCGGGTCTTACCAACCACTCAGCCCAGCACAAACAAGCTCCATGGGGAACCTTGCCAGGAAGAATTGGGTGGAGCCCTTCCCACGAGCATACAAGTCGTCTCCCCTCGCGCTGAACCCTGCAAATACAGATGAATCGTCCCAGAATGATTCTAGGATTCCAAGGGCACTGACAGCACAGAATCTTACCCATGCAGACCCACCCCAACCACAGCACTCCCCCGCTCAACCGCAGCCCGAGGATCGAGGAAGAAGCCGATTGCTTATCGGTTCGTCGCATACCCCCAAACGAACCGGAAGTCGTTTCAAGGAAAACTTCCAAGAGACCCCACAGTCGACCGAACTGCCACAGATCCCAGTCAAGAGCGAAAGACGGAGTCAAGAGAATCGGAGAATGCCAATTGCGTCAACCGATACGCTCAGAGATATCCCTGTCTCTCCTTTCCAGGTAGCTGTCAGATCTCCATTCCACACAGGAAGTGTTTCGCCCAGCGAGAGAAACAGCCGAACGTCAAAAGACCTGTCGGATGGCACTTACAATGTTCCTGCGAGATCTCCCCGTCGAGCCTCTCGCACTTCCACCAAACTCCCAGGGAATATCCTTGCCATTGGAGGACCTGGGGGGTTCATACCAGGACATAGCCGTACTTCTTCACACGCCTCCTCCCACGATGGTCATTCGAATTATGACACTGCCGATGAAGATACACCTGAATCACCTGGATTGAAACGAAACTCACTGACTCGAGTGGATACCAGCCGCTCGATTCCCACTGTTGAAGTGCCGGTTGTACAGGGAGTTCCCGTTAGCCCACTCATTCAACCCAGCGCCCAGCCTAGCATTCAACCTGGAATCCAACCCAGTATTCAGCCTGTCTTGCAGCATACCCTGCAGCTTGGCTCTCATCCCGATACCTATCGTGGCATACAATACAGCCCTCAACTTGGCACTCAGCCTGACATTCATACCAGCATACAGCCCAGCACTCAACCGAGTTTCCATCCCGACAGCCCTCAAACCCGACCAGGTCCCATGAGTATTCTCAAAAGAAGATCCCAAAAAGCGAAAGCAACCCGCAATCCACAAACTATCGCCAAGATCTTCGTAATCTGTTGCCGCTGCAAGTACTGGCACGACCTACCCTCCGAAGTCTACGCGCGTCTCGCCTGCCCCGAGCGCTTAGGGTCGGATTCCAAGCTGGGTGGATCTCGCTCCAAGAAACAACCCGATAGTGGTACCCGCAAGCTTACAGGTTCACGATCGCTGCCATTCGGTCAATTCCCAGCCCCCCACACTGCCCAGGGCGCACCCGATCTACGACCTGCGCCTCTTCTACCCCGCAAGGTCACCTGCTGCTGGTGTGGACATAATATGAGCCGATCTTGTTGCGAGGGTTGGACTGCTGTTGTTGAGATGCGTGAGCGTCATCATTGATTGAAAAGACGTGCCTATGATATAAATGATTGATATGAACGATCACCATGATGTTATGATTTCCTTCTTCGTTTTCTCAGTTTCATGTCTAATGTTTGGGATTTCTGCATATACATATGCATATGCATCTGCGTCTGCGTCCTTGATGTTACGATCCTTGGGCTCTCTTACAGACAGTTTCCCATCAATTAATTGAATTAAATGTATGTGGGTTGAAAATGACTTAGATTAAACCTACATCTATTCGACTGTAAACGTATTCAGCTAGGTGACTAGTACTAACTGTACAATGAAAAAGAGGTGTGGTTAAGATTAAACAAACGCCTCTCCTCCACCCCCCACTTTGAATGTATTCCGTGGACTCGTCAACTAGCTATAGACCCGAGCTCCTTGGAAGTCACAAAGAATTTTGCTTCTAGATTGAGCAATAGCACCCGTTGATTGTGATATTCGTTTAGTATATTCAGTGATAAAAGCTTATCAGATCAAGAAAGTTGAGGTATGATATGGAAAAAAAAGATAAAAGATGAGGGGATTTATGGGTGTCAATTTCTCTAAACTATAGATGGCAGGCTATATCAAATCGAAATGCAACAAGTTCGACTTTGGACTCGTCTATTTGCTCCAGTAGTATTCCGTGCGGAGCACCAACGTACATATATATCCATACACGGTATGTACATAAATGTTATATCTTCCAAGTGGCAGAAACTCGGCGGTATATATTTGCTGAGTCATCCTTTAAGGAGCTCCCGTGCCTTTTTTTTTTTTTTTTTTCTTTTTGCATTGACGTCTTCCTCTGAACATTCTATTCTTCTGGACAATAATCCCTTCACCCTCAATTCATTCTTCAGAATTCAATGCTATTCTGATTTATGGTATCTATACTCCTTACCAGTATTTACACTAACCGAATCACATATTATGTAACAAACCCCAAGCACATTCTGTCCGCAACTCCTCAATCCAGCTGCCTCAGTCCATGTGGACATCCTCAAGGGCTCTCTTTCTGGAGAACAGTCACCACAGCGCTACGTCTTGTAGCCGTGACCGACTGGAGCTGGATTGCGAGCTGGGTACCTTCGGGTGCTCATGCTCACTTTTGAAATACAAAAGTTGCCAGAGTAAGAAAAGGGCCTTCATAGTTCATGTTATACTTGCTCGAGTCTTTCCCTTCGGGGATTTCACTTTGTCTACGAGAGCATGACTCCTTGCGCATCTACATTTATCAGTTTAATATCGAATCGAATCTATTGCTTTCACATGTATCAATATTTCTTTCAAGATTACAGCTTGCTCTTCACGTCACCAACAATATTCACAACAACCTTACCCCAAGTTTCCCTCCCACCCAACGCCTGCAAAGCCCTGGGCACACTCTCCAACCCAACAAAGATCTCATCGCTGAACGCCGTCCCCTTGAACTTCCCTTGTTTAACAAGGTCAAAGATCCCCTGCCAAACCTGGCCCACAGTCTCCGTCTCAAACTTGGCATACTGTCCCCAATGCAAGCCAACAATACTCACATTTTTCAACAGCACTCGATTAAGGGCAACCTTCTCAATCTTCCCTGCCGCAAATCCAATAACCAATAACCGCGCATTCCACGCCACACACTTCAAACTCGCTTCAATCATCCCAACAGGATCATAAACAATATCCACCCCAGCAGCCCCGTTCCCCTGTCTCTTCTCCTTGCAAATATTCTTCACAACCTCCGGCCACGCCTTATCCATATAATCAACCACATAGTCCGCCCCAAACTCCCTAGCAATCTCCCTCTTCCTCTCCGTGCCCGCAGTAGCAATAACAGTCGCCCCCATGGCCTTGGCAATCTGCACAGCAGCAAGTCCGACTCCGCCCGCAGCAGCATGAACAAGAACCCAGTCGCCAGCCTTTACGCCAGCGCGTTGAACAAGACCACCATATGAGGTCGGCGCCGTGACGAAGAGCCCCGCCGCGTCTTCGAAGCTCCACCCCTCTGGCACGGGGAGGAGCGTTTGTTCTGTGGCTAGGACATGTGTTGCGTAGGCGCCCTGTGTGGCGCCGAAGACGCGGTCGCCAAGTTTGTAGCGGTTGTTTGAGGAGGTTGGAACAGAGATGATTGTGCCGGCGAATTCAGCGCCGCCAATCCAGGGGAGCGGTGGTTGGTTTTGGTATTTGCCTTGGATTTGGAGGATATCGAAGAAGTTTGTGCCGGCAGAGTGGATTTCGATTAGGTACTTATCAGGCGTTGGCGCTGGCGTTGGGACTGTTGTAACTTTTAGGTCTAAGGGGCCCTGTAGAAGTGCTTAGTTTGAGTTCGGGTTGAGGTTTGGGGTTGTAAGTACTTCGACGTATTCGCTAACTTGGACGGCACGCATCGTAGCGGTGGTGGGGGGATGTAGATTTGGATTGAGGTGATATCTTTTGAGCTTGTAGGATGAAGAGATAAAAGTGATCAGGGTTCGTTCAAATAAAAGGAACTTTGGAAGGGCTGAGATATGGGGTTTCCCCGCAAGATGCCGAGGTTCCTCTTCGGGTAACTGACGAGTCTTGGCATCTATTATTACACTTCTACTTGTACTCCGTACTCGGTACTCGGTACTCCGTACATATATTTGATATATATATTTATATATACTATAAATATACATAGTATAGATGTGTCAAGCTCAATTAATCAATAGGTATCAACATATACAGTTTCCTTTCCATCCAAACTCCCAAAAACCAAACATATCGGGTATGGCAACACAAACAACCCACCCATATTTCGCACAAAAAGGTATCAAGGTATCAAGGTACAACAGGTAGTTAAAAGAAAGAAGAGCGTGTGTGCAAGTTACTACCTAATATCCAATGCCTGGAGGCTTCTGCACATGATGGTCATGGCCCATATAAGACATGATGGGAGCACACATCACCGAATGAGGCCCACCGGACTGAGCATGTGAGGGTGACGCCATAGTATGCGACTGTTCATGAGGCTGTGTATGCGGGAGCATCTGCTTCATATCATGCTCGGGCCGGGCAGCCAGATGACCGGCCATATCATACTGTAATGACATAGCGCGCTTCCAGTTCTTGGCATCATAGCAGTTGGGGTACTCCGGTGCTTCGCTATAGTGTTGTTGGTAGTGGGAATGATAGAGCTGGGCTTGGGGGAGGTAGCCGTTGATTGAAGGCGCCATGGGAGCAGCCGTGGACTGGGGGGTGGCGGCTGGGGGGGTGATGGCTTCAAAGGGCAGGGAGTACCACTGAGCTGGGTTGAGGCCGTAGTCTACTGAGACAGCGCGGGGCGACCAGCCAATACCGCCGGGGGTCGTTGTCGTGCCTGGGCTTGGCAGGCACGATTCGGGTGAGAGTGGGTAGGCTGGGTAAGATGGAACTATGGCGGAGGTTGTGTTCACCATGAGACCCTCGCCCACTGGGGAGGTGTGGTCGAATGATTTTGTTGTTGGGCTAGTATCTGGGTAAGAGACGGCTTTTGTGCGGCCTGGGACGAGGATGTGCTCGTCGGAAGGGCTCGGGGTGAGTCGTTGGATCATGGGAGAGCTCCATTTTCGCTCCTGCTCTGGGACTGGGTGATGGGTAATGGACGCTTGTCCATAGATGGGTTGTATCATGGGCCATTCATGGTGAGGTGTCAGTGTCTCTTTTGTCGGTAATGATGGCAGTGGTCTTTGGATGGATGCTTTGTGCACATCCTTGTCTGCGTCTGGTTCTTCTCCAGAGGCCGAAGCCAGACTCTTCTTTCGAGTCTGGCGGGATGGTTTGGTTACACGCCATTTCTTCAGTCTGCTTCGTAGTTGGGTTTCACTGGAGGTGTTAGTCGATAGTCCATGATATTCATGATAGAGTCCAGTATCGGACATAAATATGAATGCACTTACCTAGGATTGAAATCATCGGTACGTATCTGCTTAATGACCTGCTTCAAGGGCCATTCCTCTTCCATATACAACTTGGAGATCAACGCCTTCTTCTTCTCCCATACATCGGAGGAAATCGAAGTCTTCATCATCAACGCACAGTCCAGGGAGTGGAAATAGGAGGTAGTATGAAGATCAAGGTGATCAACAGGAAAGAGACAGGAAACGGGCGAGACAATAATTATATGTAGAAATAGGGAAATAGCTTAGGGGGGGGAAAAATAAGAATAAGAATAATAAGAGTGGTTTGTTAGGGCCATTCCCACCTAGCCATCTCTCCCAGTTCCAAAATTCTCCCACAGATCTCCATTGTCTTGGTTCTGTCATTATGGACCCTCCAGTCGCACAATCTCTCATTAGGATCCATTGGGTCCTAGCGTCCGTGGCGTTCAGCACGCGGCGATCATGAACGAGATTCGCTGGGGAACCCTCATTGGATATGGGTGACGATCATCAAGGCTACCTAGGTGCGATGTCATTACTCCAAGTAGATCACATCATCCAAGCGGAACAGCTCATCTACTAAGTCTTACTATCCCCAGTTGAGTGCTTGGCGCGTTTGAACAAAGCGGATATCGGAATTCGATTGATCATCTCTTTACGGGGTTTAGCTGTTTCATTTTCTTTCTTCCAACATTCGACCTATCGAGATATCCAGACCCATGTGTGTAATTCCCTTTGGACGGACCCGATCAAATCCGACGAAAATCGGGGGAGAGGGCGGTGGGAATTCCCAGCACAACGGTTATACCGAGACACACGGCCTATAGTTCCCCAGCAGTGATTTACTGTGCATTGGGGCCCGGCTAGGGCCCCAGTTCTATCCCAATACGGTCATACTCCAACGCCAGATAAGCCCTCCTCTCACCTGATGGCGTCCTGGACCTCATGGTCGCCGATCATCGCCATCTCAGGTATCCTCAGGGGACCGGTTTTGACGGTATGGAGCACAGTTCTGAAGGTTCTGTACCGGACGTCTATCCAGAAGTAGAGATGTGAATGTTCTATGGATGGGAAGCCTTGGAAACAACTGCTGCAAATTTTGACAGAGCAGTATCGTCACATCATGTGCTCAGATCCAACACTATTTGAATGGAGCCCTGAATTGGGAAACCAGTATCTCTCCCCCGGACCCCAAGGCACCAATGCTTTTTTTTTTCTCTTACGGCTGGAGGTGAATCCGCTAAGGCACATGGTGTCAGAACTAGTGTAAAGCCCCCTCTCAACTCACACCAATAGCGTGAGGCCCATGGAGTACTAGTTCGTGCGAGCGCCAATCGATCTGGTAAATTGATCGGCGACGATCTGCCCGGGTCCTCAATAGTGGATTTATTGGGCTCCACGTTGACTTGCCCCCTTAAACGGGATTTCTCATACCAGCACCATTGCCTCTAATCGTCGAGAAAGACCTGAGAGACATCAGTTTAACTGAGGATCAAACAAACAAAAAAAAAGCACGGGCCCGACACTGCACGCTGCATGAAGAGTGCCCACGAGCTTCTGCTTTCTGCCAATCATCATTTGCGTTCTTCGACCTGCATATGTCACATCTCTTGAACTGCAGATGTCTGGATAACTTCACCTTGACCCATGGGGGTTTCTATATCGTCTTATCTAGGAATGAGAATTTAGAGAAATGACACCTATTATGCGGGTGCAGACACCAGAAATCTGATCCTTTTATAATATATTCTGTACAAATTTTCCAAACGAGGCATTGAGGCCATATCCAAAGCGTATACATAACACATATCGCATCGGCATTTTCACCCGCGCGCCTCTATTCTAAAAGGATGACTTCTTTGACGTATCTACAGCCGCTCGTTATAAAGAGTGAAAAACTTCTCTGTGCTCTGGACTGTTAAAAAAAAAAAGCATGGCATGTTTTCTTTTTTCTTTCATTTACATTTTCCCCCGGTCCAATGACACAATATTTCAAAAACATGATCCCGGTTAACAAGGATATATCAAGTCCGTAGACATAGACATCCCCGGATCACCATGGATCTTCTCCGAAGCCCTCTTACAAAGCTTAATAGAACACGGAGTATCTCCTTTCGCATCTCCGGTCCTTCGGGGAACATTTGGAGAGAACAGTGGAGCCCGGCCAAATCAAAGTCAACATATCGGGGAATACTAGCATGCTCATTCTCTATGCTTTCTTTTTGAAATTATTCTCCAAATCATATAGAACTATGGGATGAGATTCTACCTGCTCCTATTACCCTTGAATATTGTTCACAAAACTTGGCCGAGGTACACTAAATAAGTGGGAATTGGCTTGGATCGCCATATGGATCCTCATTGGAGACTTCTAACAGACGGAAATAGGGGGGAAAAGCCTCCCGAGATGATCTTCCTTCTTCCACTTGATACTTTTCGGAGTACAAGTTCCTGGGATACATATATATTTCTCAAAGTACGGAGTATTCCGTAGTACATTCTTTCCATCTACATCCTATGCACTCATTCCTCAAGGTAAATAGACTATTGGCTATATACAACATATATAACATCCCTTGCCTTCATCAATAACAATAGATAATTCCCTGGTTCTCTCACACTATTGATATTAATATAAAACACTGTAAATCCCAATAGTTTGAGATCCATTCTATTTTCTGACGGCTTGGAGTAAAAGATGATCTCTGCTATAAACCCCGGATGGATTCCGATCCACTTAACTAGTTGGGCATAATCTCCGGGCAATCAACTATTGATTTGAAAACAGGTCTATTTCTGCTAATTGATTTCTATTGGTCTTTTGTTAATATAGGATTAACACAGGAAAAGAAAGAAGACAAAAAAAAACAAAAAAACAAGACAAAACATTATAACATCTCTCAACGCCTAGAGTATACACATTTAATAGAAATTATTACAACAAGCTGATAGCCAAGAACGAAACAAGTCAATTGAGAGGGGAAATATTAAAACGTAAAACGGTCGGAGTCAAAAATGAGGGCATTGAAGCATTGATCACTCTAACGACGCCTCTTGAGATGATGCTCCTTGCCCTTTTTAGACTTCTTCTTGCTTTTATCTGCCGGCAACACTAGGGGTTCATCCTTCATGTTCCACTCCATAAAGCGCAAGAGATAGTCATCGATGTGACCGGGCTCCAATTCTGCTTCGGGGTCACCAGGCACGTGCGGAACTGGAGTGTCAGTCCCATCCTCCATGGCTAAGGGCGTTCCAGCCTGGGCCGGTGTTCCATGCGAAGCGCTGTGCTCCTCAAAGTCGCCATCGTCGGCGTGCTCCTGTTCTTTCTGGGCATTCTTTGCCGCATCCAGGTCCTCCTTGTCCTCGGCTGCTTCGAAGACCCGGGTTCCGCCTCCGATGCGGTTGCCGAGGACTCGGTCCATGGCAGCACTGGCTTCGTCTTGGCCGTCGCGTTCATCGGTTTCGGCTATCACTGGCTCGTTGAGTTTGGTGAAGTATTCTGTGGTGAACTCTCCTTCTTGGATGATAACGTCGTCGAGCATCCGCTTCTGATTGGCTTTGCGGAGGATATTGGATTCAATGGTATACTCGGATACGAAGCGGTAGATATGGACATCTCGTGTCTGACCGATGCGGTGGCAACGATCCTGGCATTGCTTGTCCATGGCAGGGTTCCAGTCTAGATCGTAGAAGATGACCGTGTCAGCGCCCGTGAGATTGATACCAAGACCACCGGATCGACTCGATAGGATGAAAGCGAGGATGCGTGGGTCACTATTGAATCGTTCCGTGAGCATCTGTCGGGACTCGACTTTCGTAGTTCCGTCGAGTCGGAGATAGCGATGGCCATGAATATTGAGGAACTGTTCGAGGATATCGAGCATCTTGGTCATCTGAGTGAAGATCAGGGCCCGATGACCGCCGGCTTTGAGGTCACGTAAAAGTTTATCAAGGCGCTGCAGTTTGCCGCAGTCGTATTGAAGCAATCTCTTATCCGGGAACGCAATAGAGAGGCGCATCCGGGCTTCATGGAAAGGGTCGTATGGCGGGTTTGGGCGATTATTGGTTAAAAGCCGGGTCTCGATGGGAGTCAAGGCGGCTTCGTTCATGCCTGCAGCGACGGCGGCGGGGGTGACACAGGCGAATCTCTGGACATAGCCATGCATCTCGAGGGCCCGCTCCTCAACGGTCAGAATCATCGACGCGAGGACGGAGGACCGGCTTGACAACCAGTCGGCCATTGAGCGCTTCCGCAGTGGTGCATTGGATAGCGCGTGTTCCTTGGTCCCAGCTCGGAGGAATTCGATAAGGCTGCTACCGTATACGGGCCGCCGGCCGTGCCGCTTTGATTCGAAATAGAGACACCGCTCTAATTCGGCCATTCGTCTCTTCCGACAGGCGTTCTCTAATGATTCTAAGATAGTCTGCATGTTAGACCCATCAAAGCCCATCTCCCAGTTAGTCCGGTTGTACTGGCGTTCTCGGAGAGTCTTGAACGGGCCAATAGCCATCAGCCTGATACTGTCGTCGGCCAGCCGCCGTGAGATATCTTCCCGTGATATAGGTGCGAGATTGAGGAAATCTAAGTCGATCTTGGTGAGTGGGTGTTCAAAGAGGAGTCGTCTTCGAACGAGGGATTCCTTGGTATTGAAGTCCATAGCCACAGACCGCGGCATCGCAAAGGAGGTGGAGATTGGACGGGTTTCGAAGAGATCGGGGTGATTGCACACTTTACGAAGTTGCATCAGACAGTGGATAATGGAAAGGAAGTTTCCGGACGCGAGCGTCTCCTTGGTCTGGGCCATCGACATGAAGCCGTCGTAAAGGAATCGCTGACGCTTTGATAGCCTACAGTAGACCACATGTTCGTACTTGCCAGGCATCTGCTTCTCGACATCGGCCTTCAGGCGACGAAGAAGGTACGGGCGGAGAACGGTGTGAAGTTTGGTGATCACGCCCTTGGCCTCCTCGTCCATAGTCTCCCTGCCATGCTCCAGAATTTGTTCAACGGGGCGCCGGAACCATTCAGAGAAATCCTTCAAATCAGCAAACCCTTCGACGCCACCATTTGTACCATCCGAAGGCATCAAGAAGAACAGAAGAGACCACAGTTCCGTGAGATTGTTCTGGAGTGGTGTGCCCGTAAGAA